ATATTAGAGAAAATGAATATTGATAAAGTTTACCTTTATGTACAGAATCTGAATATCGCAAAATATTTTTAAAAATTGCAATAATATCGTATCGTGCGTTAAGTATTGTGATAATATCGTATCGTGAGTTAAGTATTGTGATAATATCGTATCGTGGGATGTATGGTGATCCCCACCTCTAATAAACTGTTCTACGTGACTCTCAGAAATAAAGAAACGACTCTAAAACTGCACAAAATGGCCAAAAGCGACACAACTAATGATAGCTAAGAAGTCCAAAACAACTACCCGGGTGTGAAACGGCCACGTGATGACTAATTAGCACCTGACTCATGAAAAGCAGTTACACAGAAAATGTGTAACACCCACAAGGAGAGTTTTAGAAATGACAGGAGGACAACACGGCTGTAAAAGATGCAAAGTGACCCCAAAGAGGCAAAAAACAAAGGGAATAAAAAAGGCCAAAAACAGACTGAAATGACCAACAGTGACACAAACTGACAATTATGACTAAAAGATACTAAATAAATATACACAATGGGACAAATTAAAAAAGCAGAGTTTTGATCTACTCACATAAGGTTTCTGACATGTCGCGGAGCATTAATTGTGCGCATGAACATGGGTTGTTTTCACATTTTCATCTCACTGTAACTAGTTTATATGCAGATGATACACTGCTGTATTTTACTGCCCATTGTGCCACAGCAAACATGCAGCGTTCCTGTCATCACAGGAGCATTAATGAAACAGCCTGACTGCGGAGCATCTCCACTCTGATAGCTTCCTGCTCCAAATTCAACATGTTTGCTTGTTCTCCAGCGTATTCTAGTCTCGAAAGCAGCCGTACATTATTTATACATTTGCAGATTATGAATTTAAAGTCGCTTTCTGTGAGACTGTGAACTCTGTGAATTTTGCAGGCAAACAGTACGGCGCGCTCTGAAGTAATCCCCGTCAAGCAGCAGCCTTTGAAGAAGTGGACTTTAGAAACAGGAGCTTTGGATTCACCAGCCTGACAGTCGCTTCCATTCGCCGCCAATTCTGCTTTTGATGTGAGATTCATATTACACAGCTGATGAGTCAACACATCACAGGCTAACTTTAGCTCACTTTGCCGGCGCCTTTGACGCCGTCTTTGGTCTTTGCTGTTTACACTGGGGAGGCTTTGTTCCGATTCAGACAGGAGGGAGATGTTGAGGCTTTCTCAGTAAACTGATTTTCTTTTAATGAACCGGCAGCGACGGCCTGCAGGCAGCACAGAGATGCTCCTGTTTTCTGTTTTATCACCTGATTTCTGAAATAAGCTTTTAAGGCGCCGTGAGTGATGTTGAAAGCGATGCTGCTTCTCTGCTTTGCGTTCTCTAATCTCATAATTTTTTCCTCCTCCTCCTCTTCATCGCCTCTCGCTCCTCTCCCCTCTAATCCTCTTCCTCTCTTTCCAGGTAACGATTTGTTCCTGGTGGCGGTGCACGAGTTGGGGCACGCGTTGGGTTTGGAGCACTCCAATGATCCCAGTGCCATCATGGCTCCTTTCTACCAGTACATGGACACGCACAACTTCAAGCTGCCGCTGGACGACCTGCAGGGCATTCAGAAGATCTACGGTGAGCTCTCGGGTTTAGTTCTGTGTAGGCTGTAGCTCGGGAGGTGGAGCAGATCGTCTACTAATCGGAAGGTTGGTGGTTTGATTCCTGGCTCTCCTTGAGCGAGATACTGACCGCCAAGTTTGTGTCAATGTCAGCAAGAAGGTCCATAAGAAACGGTGCTTGAGTGAATGGGTTTAAGTCAGTCATTTGTTTAAAGAAACATCGTTAGTTTCGGGTTTTTGTCCTTTTAGTTGAAGAACAAAAGATTTTCAGTCACTTCTTTATTTCAGCTTTTCAGACGATTCAACAAACATTGACGTCAGTTTTGTCTCCAAGTGTGAGAAACAAGTAAAAACCCCCAAATATCCATCCAGGTTTGATTTTAGCTAATTCCCTTTTTTAATAGCACATAGTAGTGATGTGCGAATCATGAACGAATCGTTCAATACTCGAGAATCACTTTACTGACTCATGAATCATGATTCACAAGCCCAACTGACTCACTGACTCATCCCTGTTGCTGTTAGCAGCAAT